CTCTGCCTCCCTTTGAAGAATGACACTAAAACCATGGGTACCATAGCTTTAAAAAGGTTGAGAAAGGTTGGATTTAAGTAAGACGTGCCTCTCATGGGCCAGTTCGCCTACTGCAATGCTTCTCTTCAGTAGGCTTGCACAACAGCTGATCATTACAGTGCTCAGCTGTTATGTATACAGGGAAGAGGCCAGCATGAACTATTGGATATAAAATTTATGAGTATATTTGAGATGGAATATGGTTACTGAGTGTGGTTTTTTCCCTTTTATGTACCAAAGCAGAAATCTACTTTGTGATAATCCACCAGTATGCAAGAATTTCAACCTCTTAAAGTGTTATACATGAATAGGTTAACCCTTGGCTTTTTACTTAAAAATTTTGTCACAAAATCTTGACCTATACTTGAGTATAATTTTTTTTTTATTATCACACTGGCCGATTCCCACCAAGGCACGGTGGCCCGAAAAAGAAAAACTTTCACCATCATTCACTCCATCACTGTCTTGCCAGAAGGGTGCTTTACACTACAGTTTTTAAACTGCAACATTTACACCCCTCCTTCAGAGTGCAGGCACTGTACTTCACATCTCCAGGACTCAAGTCCGGCCTGCCGGTTTCCCTGAACCCCTTCATAAATGTTACTTTGCTCACACTCCAACAGCACGTCAAGTATTAAAAACCATTTGTCTCCATTCACTCCTATCAAACACGCTCACGCATGCCTGCTGGAAGTCCAAGCCCCTCGCACACAAAACCTCCTTTACCCCTCCCTCCAACCTTTCCTAGGCCGACCCCTACCCCGCCTTCCTTCCACTACAGACTGATACACTCTTGAAGTTATTCTGTTTCGCTCCATTCTCTCCACATGTCCGAACCACCTCAACAACCCTTCCTCAGCCCTCTGGACAACAGTTTTGGTAATCCCGCACCTCCTCCTAACTTCCAAACTACGAATTCTCTGCATTATATTCACACCACACATTGCTCTCAGACATGACATCTCCACTGCCTCCGGCCTTCTCCTCGCTGCAACATTCATCACCCATGCTTCACACCCATATAAGAGCGCTGGTAAAACTATACTCTCATACATTCCCCTCTTTGCCTCCAAGGACAAAGTTCTTTGTCTCCACAGACTCCTAAGTGCACCACTCACCCTTTTCCCCTCATCAATTCTATGATTCACCTCATCTTTCATAGACCCATCCGCTGACACGTCCACTCCCAAATATCTGAATACATTCACCGAATATGTAAAACTGGTCATTTAGCAAGAACTCATTTAAAATTAAGTCCTTTCTAAAGTTTTCTCTTATATGTTTAAAGATTATAGGTAGTAGGTTGGTAGACAGCAACCACCCAGGGAAGTACTACCATCCTGCCAGATGACTGTGAAACAGAAACCTGTAACTGTTTTGCATGATGGTAGGATTGCTGGTGTCTTTTTCTGTTTCATAAACATGCTAGATAACAGGGATATCTTGCTACTCCTACTTACACTTTGGTCACACTTCACAGACATGCACATGCATATATGTATATATACATACATCTAGGTTTTTCTCCTTTTTCTAAATAGCTCTTGTTCTTCTTTATTTCTTCTATTGTCCATGGGGAAGTGGAAAAGAATCTTTCCTCCGTAAGCCATGCGTGTCGTATGAGGCGACTAAAATGCCGGGAGCGATGGGCTAGTAACCCCTTCTCCTGTAGACATTTACGAAAAAAGAGAAGAACAACTTTATAAAACTGGGATGCTTGAATGTGCATGGATGTAGTGCGGATGACAAGAAACAGATGATTGCTGATGTTATGAATGAAAAGAAGTTGGATGTCCTGGCCCTAAGCGAAACAAAGCTGAAGGGGGTAGGGGAGTTTCGGTGGGGGGAAATAAATGGGATTAAATCTGGAGTATCTGAGAGAGTTAGAGCTAAGGAAGGGGTAGCAGTAATGTTGAAGGATCAGTTATGGAAGGAGAAAGGAGAATATGAATGTGTAAATTCAAGGATTATGTGGATTAAAGTAAAGGTTGGATGTGAAAAGTGGGTCATAATAAGCGTGTATGCACCTGGAGACGAGAGGAATGTAGAGGAGAGAGAGAGATTTTGGGAGATGTTAAGTGAATGTATAGGAACTTTTGAACCAAGTGAGAGAGTAATTGTGGTAGGGGACCTGAATGCTAAAGTAGGAGAAACTTTTAGAGAGGGTGTGGTAGGTAAGTTTGGGGTGACAGGTGTAAATGATAATGGGAGCCCTTTGATTGAACTTTGTATAGAAAGGGGTTTAGTTATAGGTAATACATATTTTAAGAAAAAGAGGACAAATAAGTGTACAAGATATGATGTAGGGCGAAATGACAGTAGTTTGTTGGATTATGTATTGGTAGATAAAAGACTGTTGAGTAGACTTCAGGATGTACATGTTTATAGAGGGGCCACAGATATATCAGATCACTTTTTAGTTGTAGCTACACTGAGAGTAAAAGGTAGATGGGATACAAGGAGAATAGAAGCATCAGGGAAGAGAGAGGTGAAGGTTTATAAACTAAAAGATTAGGCAGTTAGGGTAAGATATAAACAGCTATTGGAGGATAGATGGGCTAATGAGAGCATAGGCAATTGGGTCGAAGAGGTATGGGGTAGGTTTAAAAATGTAGTGTTAGAGTGTTCAGCAGAAGTTTGTGGTTACAAGAAAGTGGGTGTGGGAGGGAAGAGGAGCGATTGGTGGAATGATGATGTAAAGAGAGTAGTAAGGGAGAAAAAGTTAGCACATGAGAAGTTTTTACAAAGTAGAAGTGATGCAAGGAGGGAAGAGTATATGGAGAAAAAGAGAGAGGTTAAGAGAATGTGTGAAGCAATGTAAAAAAGAGAGCAAATGAGAGAGTGGGTGAGATGTTATCAACAAATTTTGTTGAAAATAAGAAAAAGTTTTGGAGTGAGATTAACAAGTTAAGGAAGCCTAGAGAACAAATGGATTTGTCAGTTAAAAATAGGAGAGGAGAGTTATTAAATGGAGAGTTAGAGGTATTGGGAAGATGGAGGGAATATTTTGAGGAATTGTTAAATGTTGATGAAGATAGGGAAGCTGTGATTTCGTGTATAGGGCAAGGAGGAATAACATCTTGTAGGAGTGAGGAAGAGCCAGTTGTGAGTGTGGGGGAAATTCGTGAGGCAGTAGGTAAAATGAAAGGGGGTAAGGCAGCCAGGATTGATGGGATAAAGATAGAAATGTTAAAAGCAGGTGGGGATATAGTTTTGGAGTGGTTGGTGCAATTATTTAATAAATGTATGGAAGAGGGTAAGGTACCTAGGGATTGGCAGAGAGCATGCATAGTTCCTTTGTATAAAGGCAAAGGGGACAAAAGAGAGTGCAAAAATTATAGGGGGATAAGTCTGTTGAGTATACCTGGTAAAGTGTATGGTAGAGTTATTATTGAAAGAATTAAGAGTAAGACGGAGAATAGGATAGCAGATGAACAAGGAGGCTTTAGGAAAGGTAGGGGGTGTGTGGACCAGGTGTTTACAGTGAAACATATAAGTGAACAGTATTTAGATAAGGCTAAAGAGGTTTTTGTGGCATTTATGGATTTAGAAAAGGCGTACGACAGGGTGGATATGGGGGCAATGTGGCAGATGTTGCAGGTGTATGGTGTAGGAGGTAGGTTACTGAAAGCAGTGAAGAGTTTTTACGAGGATAGTGAGGCTCAAGTTAGAGTATGTAGGAAAGAGGGAGATTATTTCCCAGTAAAAGTAGGCCTTAGACAAGGATGTGTGATGTCACCGTGGCTGTTTAATATATTTATAGAAGGGGTTGTAAGAGAAGTAAATGCGAGGGTCTTGGCAAGAGGTGTGGAGTTAAAAGATAAAGAATCACACATAAAGTGGGAGTTGTCACAGTTGCTCTTTGCTGATGACACTGTGCTCTTGGAGATTCTGAAGAGAAGTTGCAGAGGTTGGTGGATGAATTTGGTAGGGTATGCAAAAGAAGAAAATTAAAAGTGAATACAGGAAAGAGTAAGGTTATGAGGATAACAAAAAGATTAGGTGATGAAAGATTGGATATCAGATTGGAGGGAGAGAGTATGGAGGAGGTGAATGTATTCAGATATTTGGGAGTGGACCTGTCAGCAGATGGGTCTATGAAAGATGAGGTGAATCATAGAATTGATGAGGGGAAAAGGGTGAGCGGTGCACTTAGGAGTCTGTGGAGACAAAGAACTTTGTCCTTGGAGGCAAAGAGGGTAATGTATGAGAGTGTAGTTTTACCAACGCTCTTATATGGGTGTGAAGCATGGGTGATGAATGTTGCAGCGAGGAGAAGGCTGGAGGCAGTGGAGATGTCATGTCTGAGGGTAATGTGTGGTGTGAATATAATGCAGAGAATTCGTAGTTTGGAAGTTAGGAGGAGGTGCGGGATTGCCAAAACTGTTGTCCAGAGGGCTGAGGAAGGGTTGTTGAGGTGGTTCAGACATGTAGAGAGAATGGAGCGAAACAGAATGACTTCAAGAGTGTATCAGTCTGTAGTGGAAGGAAGGCGGGGTAGGGGTCAGCCTAGGAAAGATTGGAGGGAGGGGGTAAAGGAGGTTTTGTGTGTGAGGGACTTGGACTTCCAGCGGGCATGTGTGAGCGTGTTTGATAGGAGTGAATGGAGACAAATGGTTTTTAATACTTGACGTGCTGTTGGAGTGTGAGCAAAGTAACATTTATGAAGGGATTCAGGGAAACCGGCAGGCCGGACTTGAGTCCTGGAGATGGAAGTACAGTGCCTGCACTCTGAAGGAGGGGTGTTAATGTTGCAGTTTAAAAACTGTAGTGTAAAGCACCCTTCTGGCAAGATGGTGATGAAGTGAATGATGGTGAAAGTTTTTCTTTTTCAGGCCACTCTGCCTTGGTGGGAATCGGCCAGTGTGCTAATAAAAAAAAATAAATAAACTGTATGACCCTTGTGGATTTTGATCATGATAATGTAAAATTTATAATCTCATAAGAGGATCACATTCCAGTGGCCTTGTGGGACGACTGGATGTTGTTTCAATTCCGTCGAAGAAAACTGTTTTTGCAGTCCGCCAGTATTGTCAGAAAGAAGGCTTACCAATTCAAGATTGGCCTGTAGTAGTACCACATGGAATTTATGATGTTGGTGTTGTTGCTTCGTTTGGACGTCTTATCCCAGCTGCAGTCATTCAAGCATTCCCATTGTAAGTCAATAAAGTAAGGTACTTTTTTAATAAAATATTGATACATATTCCTATATTGCTCCTTCAGCTCTCATTAGAAGGATTCAGGCTTGTTCTCAGCACAAGTGGAAATGTTGGGCATGTTTCCTTACATCTTTTGTCCCTGTTCACTTAGCAATAAATACTGTTCCTGGGTGTTAGCCAACTGTTGTGGGTCAATCTGTTGGTCCGTCTCCATGTGGGTTATTGCTTAACACTAATAAGTGTTCATTATGCTTTTATTGGTTATGCAGACAAAAATGCTCCTGTATGAAGCTGTAGTATGGCTTTGAAAAAATTTATAATAGCCATGTAATACATTCCTGTGTATGACATCTGTGCTTGTAGTAGTTTTTTTTAACATGTTGGCTGTATCCCACCATGGTAGGGTGACCAGGCCCTCACAGCCTGATCACAGACCAGGCCGTGGAGGCATTGACCCCCGAAACCTCTCCAGGTATACATTTAGGTGTTACTAGCCCCTTGCTCCCTGCATTTTAGTCACCTCTTAGAGTATGCATGGCTTACGGAGGAAGGATTCTTCTCCACTTCTTCAGAGAGTGTTATGTTTTTATAGATAGTACATAAAAGATTCTGCTTGATTACTAATTTGAGAAAAGCCAAAGAATCTAGCAGAGTAAATACTAAGATCAAAATGATGACATATAGCTCTGTTTAAATGATCAGTTGTATGGATTTTCAAACTTAATATTAAAATACTAATTTTGACAAGTCTTTCACTGCATTTATGAATGGGCACTGTAACTACAATGCTGCACTGCTAAACCAGACACGTCAAGACTAGGTACTTCTCAAAGCATCTAAATTTCTGGTACTTGCTCAAAAGTCTCATCTATCCTATATGCCTTTTACACTCCTTTAACTTAAAGATTTAAAGATTTATTTATTTCTTTGCAATGTTAATGTGATTTGTTAAATAAGTACAAAGAAAGCCTACCAGAGCATTTTGGGCAGGCTAAACAATTTATACAGACTACACTTAATACTAGTGTTTTGAGAAGAGTAAATTTTTTATTATACGTACATGGTTTTTCTTATTAATAGAGGTAGCTAATTGTTTACAGTAATTCATATTTATAGTTGTGATATAGTATATAAAAAATTACAGTACAATGGTACCTCGGGATATGAGCTTAATTCGTTCCAGAAGGCTGTTCGAGTGGTGATACCGAACAAATTTGTTCCCATAAGGAATAATGTAAATTAGATTAATCCATTACAGACCCCCCAAACATACACTTACAAAAGCACTTACATAAATACACTTACATAATTGTTCGAGTTTTGAGCTGTTCGTAATCCGAGGTACCACTATTACAATTTAGTATAATTTACAATAATGAAATTGAAATTTTAACACTAAGTGTTAAATTTTAAGTGTGAAGTAATGATTAAATAGCTGATTTTTTTTTTTTTTTTGTAACTGGTAGGTGTAAAGTATAGTGTTTATCTGGTTAATTTTGAGTGATGAGGTGATTTCTAAGTAGGGCCTTAAATTAATTTGCAGGTAGGAGCCCTGTAGTGTGTTCTGGCAATGAATTCCAGATCTTTGGGCCCTTTATGTGCATAGCATTTTTGCATAGGGAGAGATGGACACGAGGGATATCAGAGTGATTTGTGCCTGTGTTCTGTTGTAGTTAACAAGGAAGAGTTTGAGAGGAGGGTTAATATTAGAGTACAGTGGTACCTTGGTATACGTCTGCTTTGGAATAAGTCCAACTTGGTATACGTTCTGTTTGGACACAAAAATTTTTGCTTGGTATATGACCTTTGTTTGGAATACGACTTGCGTGCTAGAACTTGTATAGGTCAAAATGAGTCATGACACTGCGCGCTACCCTTGTTTACCTCTCTTGAGAGACAAAGCCACGACTGTCCACTAGCATCAGTATGCCCGTTGCTACCATTCAGTGAGCAACACGTGCTGTAACTCTGAATTTTCACGTGATTTTGTGTTTTTTTGTATAAATTTTTAGTAAATTCATTAACCATGAGTTCAAAGAAAGTAAATGAGAAGAGCCAAGCAAGTTAGAAAATGGTTATGATCACCATGGAGGTGAAAAAAAGATTGTTGAAAAGTATGAAGGTGGCATGCATATCCAGGACTTGGCTGCTGCATACCGTATGCTGAGAACAACTGTATCTACAATTGTGAAAAATAAAGATGTTAATAAATCAGCTAACGTTGCGAAGGGTGTGAAATTGATTACCAAACAAAGATCAGGGACATTAGAGCATGTTGAAAAATTCCTTTTGTTCTGGATAACAGAAAAACAGCATGCCAGCGATAGCGTATCAGAGGCTATGATTTGTGAAAAGGCAAAACTGATGCATGCCGATCTTTTGAAAAACAAGGCAGGAACAAGCCAAGAAAGTGAAGTGTTTAACCCCTTGACTGTCGCAACCCCAAATCCTGAGGTGTCTCCTGGTGTTGCAAAATTTAAAAAAAAAAAAAAAAAAAAAAATCTTATGAAATGATAGAGAATCTTTTTTGCGGTTGTAAGGAGGCCTGGTTACAGACCGGGCCGCAGGGGCATTGACCCCCGGAACTCTCTCCAGGTAAACTCCAGGTAAACACCAAAAGAACGAAATTTGATGGAAACTGACGGAATTACGCTCTTGTGAATTTAGCGACCTCGGTGATATTTACGAATTGGTGATTTCGCCCACTTTGAGCCAATTGCGATTCTGTCAAATGAGATCAAGAAAACGATAATACAGCCATAAATACTATACGAAAATACACCTCAAAGTCAGTGTTTTACTCCAAAAACACAGTTGCTTTTGTTTTTTCATTATGTATTGCATGTTGCAGGATTTTTTTATACTGCAGCTTCAAATTAAGCAGCTTTCTCCTGCTTGATTTGAAGCCGCTAGAATTTGAGTATATATACGTCAAAAACCATGGCTCGTAAGACGTATATATACAACCAAAATAGTCAAAGGGTTAAAGCCAGCCATGGCTGGTTTGATAATTTTAAGAAGAGGACTGGCAGTCAGTGTTGTGAGGCATGGAGAGGGAGCCAGCACTGATAAAGATGCCACCAATGATTTTGTTACAGAGTTTGGCAAATTTGTGGAATTAGAGGAGAAAAACCTCCCTCTGAAGGCCCTCCTCATAATGGACAGTGCTCCAGCTCTCCCTCCAAGCTTGCAGGACTGTGTGCTGCGGGAGTTTGACTTCATCATTGTAAAGTTTCTTCCCCCCTAGCACGACTCTTCTTATTCAGCCCCCTGGATCAGCAGGTCATCAGTAATTTCAAGAAACTCTACACTAAAGTGCTATTCCAGAGGGGCTTTGATGTGACCTCTTGACACAGAGTTAACCTTGAGAGAGTTTTGGAAAGATCAGTTTACTATCGCCCATTGCATAACTCATTGACAAATCCTGGCAGGAAGTTTCATGCAGAGCAAAGAACTCTGCCTGGAGGAATTTGTAGCCAGAAGCAGTGGCTGAGAGGGACTTTGAGGGCTTTGAGGCTGTGTCCATAATGGAGGATGTCTCTCTGGGCAGGTCCATTGGTCTGGATGTGAGTGATGGTTATGTGGAGGAGTTAGTAGAGGGGCACTGGGAAGAGCTGACCACTGAGGAGCTGCAGGGAACTTGAGAAGGAGGGGCACAAGACTAAGATGGATGCACTCTCTTCAGGCTCAGAAGAGGAGATAGAGGAAGCTTCCTTCTTCATTAATCAAGGAAATCTTTGCCAAATGGATGGGCGTCAAAAACTTTGCAGAGAAGTACCACCCTAACAAAGCCCAAACAAGCCGTAATAGCATTGTCTGGAATGACCAGACAATATCACATTTCCGAAACATCCTGAGGAGAAGGCAGAAGCAAAGTTCTTTGGACAGATTTTTGGTAAAAGTCAAACCTGGTGAACTTCAACTAGGTCCAGATAGAAAAAAGATTCAGAAAAGAGAAGGGAACTCTCCTTCCAAACAATAACATTTCCTCCTCTTCCCTTTTCAGCACTATGCTAGTAGGCTCTCGACTCTTTTCAGCAAAGTAAAGTGAGGTTAAATTTGCATTTATTTCATCTAATTCTTTTGTATGTATGTGTGTATTTTAGTATTAAGCAGTGTTTAAATTACATATTTTAGTATTAAGCAGTGTTTAAGCAGTGTTTAAATTACATATTTTAGTATTAAGCAGTGTTTAAATTACATATTTTAGTATTAAGCAGTGTTTAACCCTTTCAGGGTCCAGAGGCCAAATTTCAAAGGGTGCACCAGTATCCAAGAATTTAAAAAAAAAATTTTTGTTATTTTTCTTATGAAATGGTAGAGAATCTTTTTCTGAAGGTAATAAAACAAAAAGTACGAAATTTAATGGAAAATTGACGAAATTATGCTCTAGCAAATTTTGATGTGTCAGCGATATTTATGAATCGGCGATTTTGCTGGCTTTGACTCCCATTTTAGGCCAATTACATTATTCCAGTCGACCAAATTCTTAGCTATTTCACTTGTATTACTTCTCTTCTATCGATTGAGCAAAAGAAATCGCCAAGTCAACTGTTTCAACTACAAAATAAAGTGATCGGAAATTGGTAACTTGGCCAATTTAACACCAAGTTCAAAATATTCCAATTTTAAAATAGGGCCCAGAATAAACAATGTAGGTATTCCTGGCACTAAACTAACACTTCCTCTGTTCGTTAGATACATTTTGAGGCTTTACAAATGAATTCCATTTTGATTTTTTATTCACATAATGAATTTTTATTCAAACCAAAAAATAAAAGATTTACTGTTATGCAATGTTGTAATAATTGTATAAATATCATCACCACATTTGTGAATATATATTAGACCCACCAGCTGGTGTGTATTAGACATGTGAGGTTGTTTGTTTACTCTTGAACATCGGCAAAAATTTAACATTTCCGCTACTTTGAGCTCAGTTTCAAGCCATTTCCAGTGCTAAAACCAATCAAAATCATCTCTATTTCTGTAATATGTCTTCTATTCTATCAATGAGAAATCGCAAATACAGCTATAACAAACATACGAAAAAACACTGCAAAGTCACTGTTTTAATCGAAAATCATGGTCTCAGTTTTTTCTCTCATTATGCACTGTGTGCTACAGGATTTGTTTTATGTGGTGCACACATACCACATAGATGTATTCTCTCATATCTAGGCCCAAATTTACCACTCACAGCTTATCAGAGTGAGCCGAGCTCATGGCATAGATCTACCGTTTGGACCCTGAACGTAAAGCCGTAGATCTACGGGACAGACCCTGAAAGGGTTAAATTACATATTTTAGTATTAAGCAGTGCTTAAATTATTTTATACAACCCTATCAATGTATAATATGCCTATAACAATAGGACTTTTTTTTTTCATGGGAGCAGATTAATCATTTTCTTATGGGAAAATTCGTTTGGTATACGTCCTGTTTGGCATAAATCCAAGGTTCTGGAACAGATTAAGGACGTATACCGTATAATGTTCTGTGTATGTAGTAAGCATAATAATGTGTGGATGTTTTGTATATTAAGCAAATTAAGTCTCTTAACCCGTAAACGGTCCAAACGTTAATATACGTTTTTTCAACATTTGAAAGTATGTAAAAAAAGTAGATCTTCATCCTTTTTTCTTTTTTACATTTGAAAATGTGTAAAAAACTTTGATCTACTTTTTTTTTTTTTGTTATACATGTATTTGAAAATATGTAAAAAAAAACATAGATCTACTTTTGGAGCACTACACATGTGAACATAGATCTGCCTGGACTGTTTACGGGTTAAGAAGCAATGGAGTGTGCTGTCTAGTGCAGGAATTGGTAATCAATTGCACAGTAGCATTTTGTTGGGTATTAAAGGTTTAGGGTGATTTGCTGTGGTTGAGCCCCATGCACAAATACTATAGGCGAGGTAAGGGCAGATGAGAGAATGGTAAAGAGCAAGAAGTGTTGTTTGGGTTCCATAGTACCATATGTTTGAAAGGATGCTTACTCTTTTGGAGACTTTCTTGGATATTTGCTGTATGTGAGTCTGGAATTTGAGACAGCAGTCAAGGTGGAGACCTAGAAATTGCCATTGGAATTGTCAGTGTCAGAATTCAGGCTAAATGACACACATTCCTTGCACCCCATTATCACTCATTTTCCTGTTGCATCTCTTCGGTAGTCTTTCCTGCCTACTGTGCCCCTGCTTGTCACTAGGTTTATTGTGCACTTCTTGTATCTCCTCACTTTAGTATGTTGCTATGGCAGTGTGCAAATTTAGAAGTCCCTCAAGTATCATGGTCACACTTGTTGAAATCTTTGGCAAAGTTCAGAAGCTGAGTTGGGGTCTGACCTCTCCCAGTACCAACATATTGTTCGTACCAGCTCCATTTGAAAATTGGTATAATATATGCTTAAGAGATTTGTGTGGTTTTTGGAGATTCGGCATTATTTATACCTAGATTAGTTTGGCTGTTTGCCCTTTCACTATCCAGACTCCAAAAATTAATATTGCAGGAGGAAATTTTGGTGTCTTAGCATCCTTCAGTGGCACCTTTTAATCATCATTGCTATGTGCATTCCCTGGTCACCTTATTAGATTGAGAATAAAATATTAATTTTGTTTATTAAATATATCTTTTCACTATCATTAATGTTGTATATTGTATTAGGTTTCGTCGTTAAATTCTGTGCAGACACCTAAAGAAGTCCCTTTACTATGCAGGGGCATTCTTAATATCCATGGTTCACTGTTACCACGGTGGAGAGGAGCTGGACCAGTCGTTCACGCTGTTCTAAACAATGACAGTAAAACAGGAATAACTATAATGAAAATTGAACCACACAGGTAAGACATCGATAATTTGTTCATAGTACTTGTAAATATTTGGTAAATACAGTGGACCCTCGAGTAACGTCATTAATCCGTTCCAGAGAGCTCGCCTTTAACCGATTTGGAGGTTAGCCGAATTAATTTTCCCCATAAGAAATAATGGAAATCCAATTAATCCGTTCAAGACACCCAAAAGTATTAAACAAAATAATTTTTTTACATGAAATACATATACATTTCCCTACACAGAAAACAATGAGACATGCACAATAAACAATACTGAAATGACACTTACCTTTATTGTGGATGTAGCTGTACTATTGTTTGGAAGGGGAATCCCCTTCCATAAAGACTTTAGGTAACAAGTCCTTTTCTGGGGTTACCTCCCTTCTTGGTTTTTTAATGCCGCTAGGACCAGCTTGAGAGTCACTGGACCCCTGTTGCACAAAATATCTGTCCAGAGAGCTCTGTTTCTGGCATCTCTTTAAGATTTCCCTAAAATGGAACACCAGAGTGTTATTGCACATGTTGCCAATACGGCTTGCAACAGCTATGTCAGGATAATTTTCATCCGTAAAGGTTTGCACTTCAACCCACTTTCCACAAATGTTCTTAATCTTTGACGAAGGCAATTTCCTCACTCTCTCTTCCTCCTCCTCTGAAGCACATTCCTTAGCTGTGCTCTGTTGCTGCTGCACCTGAAGCTCTTGCAGCTCCGTAGTGATTAGCTCTTCATCGTCGTCCTCCACCAACTCTTCCACATTCTTGCCACTAACCGCATGGACTTCCCCAATGCCACAATAGATTCCACAACTGGCATAGGGTCCTCAGGGTTAGCCCCAAACCCTTCAAAATTCCTCTCTTGTACACATTCTGGCCACAATTTTCTCCAAGCAGAGTTCAAAGTCTTGCAAGTCACTCCCTCCCAAACCTTACTTATAAGGTTTATGCAACTGAGGATACTGAAGTGATCCTTCCAAAACTCTTAGGGCCAATTCAATGTCTGAGGCCACTTCAAAGCACTGCTTTGGTGTACAGTTTTTTGAAGTTTGAAATGACCTGCTGGTCCATGGGCTGGAGGAGAGGAGTGGTATTAGGAGGCAAAAACTTCACTTTGATGAAGCTCAACTCCCCCGCAATTTGCTCTTGCAAGTCGTGAGGATGAGCAGGAGCATTGTCCATTACCAGGAGGCACTTGAGTGACAACTTATTTTCCAGGAGGTATTTTTGCACAGTGGGGCCAAACACCTCATAGAACCAGTCGAGGAAAATGTCCCTAGTGACCCATGCCTTACTGTTTGCTCTCCACATCACACACATTTTAGTCTTGATGACGTTGTTTTTCTTGAACAGTCTGGTAGTTTCAGAGTGATACACTAGTAAAGGCTTCACTTTGCAGTCCCCACTAGCATTACTACAAAACATGAGAGTTAGCCTGTCTTTCATAGACTTGTGTCCTGGGAGTGCCTTTTCCTCCTGAGTAATGTAGGTCCTGTTTGGCATTTTCTTCCAAAACAGGCCTGTTTCGTCACAATTGAACACTTGTTGGGGTTTTAATTTTTCAGCCTCTATGTGCCCCTTAAAGTCCTGCACATGTTTTTCAGCGGCTTTTTTGTCAGAACTGGCAGCCTCACCATGCCTTATCACGCTGTGTATGCCACTACGATTCTTAAATCTCTCAAACCATCCTGTGCTGGCCTTAAATTCACTAACATCACCACTAGTTTCAGGCATTTTCTTAATTAAATCATCATGCAACTGCCTTGCCTTTTCACATATTATTGACTGAGAAACACTGTCTCCTGATAATTGTTTCTCGTTGATCCACACCAACAACAGCCTCTCCAAATCTTTGAGTATTTGCAATCTCTGTTATTTGCAATCTCATGTAAGCATACTTACACCTTTCACAACAACAGCTTCCTTGATTGCCTTTTTGTTGGCCAAGATAGTAGTGATGGTTGAATGGGGTTTGTTGTATAACCTGGCCAGCTCAGACACACACTCCACTTTCATACTTTGCAATTATCTCTCTCTTTGATTCGATAGTATTTCTCACCCTTTTTAATATAGGGTTGGCTCTAGAAGCTTTCTTTGGGCCCTTGGTGGCTTATTTAGCAGTTACAAGCACTAAAAACGCTGGAATAATACACAATGTATCGCAGTAACGCATGAAATCGTCCAGACTGGCTTGTAAATAATGGCACACTAGCTGAAGGCAGGGCAGCTAAGGCGCTCAGGGCGGATGGACAGGCGGACACGTTCGGGACGAATGCCCTTCACCGAAATTCTTGGGCATTAGCCGAGCCAATATTTTGACTCAAAAACAGGACGCTATCTGATTTTGGGGTTAGCTGATGCCACCGTTATTTTCTGTTGTAATAGTACACTATAAAATTTTTGTTGTCATTTCTACATGGACTAAATTTAGCAAAAGTGAAAATTGTAATTAATACTGTATTGGAGTAGATTATTAAACTCATATACTGTACTATACAGTAGTACCTTGACTTACAAGTGCCACAACTTATGAGTGTTCCGAGTTACGAGCCGTTGCTCGGTCGATTTTTTTGCTTTGAGTTGCGAGTCACAATCCGAGTTACGAGCAAGCTAACTTGCTAAGTTTTTGACATTTGCAAAATATCTTGCCCTTTACTCTCACACAAATCCCAAAATATTTGGAATATTTCCAATATTCCACAAGCCAATTGTAGAACAATAATTTTTTTAGGATTCTTGTCAATATTATTGCATTTACTTCAATAATGAATGGTGGTCTTCATGAAATAAGTCAGTGTTTTCCTTATGAAACTAGTGATCTAGTGCAGTTATCCTCTCAAACTCTGTTTTCTCTTAACCAGGACCAAAGAAAACCTTATAGGAAGGAGTAGTAATGATTTTAAGATAAGATAAGATTTCGTTCGGATTTTTAACCCCGGAGGGTTAGCCACCCAGGATAACCCAAGAAAGTCAGTGCGTCATCGAGGACTGTCTAAGTTATTTCCATTGGGGTCCTTAATCTTGTCCCCCAGGATGCGACCCACACCAGTCGACTAACACCCAGGTACCTATTTGCTGCTAGGTGAACAGGACAACAGGTGTAAGGAAACGTGTCGGAATTTCCACCCGCCCGGAATCGAACCTGGGCCCTCCGTGTGTGAAGCGGGAGCTTTAGCCACCAGACCACCGGACTGGTCCTGGGGTGTTAATGTTGCAGTTTAAAAACTGCAGTGTAAAGCACCCTTTATTTATTTATTTATTTATTTATTTATTATAATTTGTGCACACTGGCAAGACAGTGATGGAGTGAATGATGGTGAAAGTTTTTCTTTTTCTGGCCACCCTGCCTTGGTGGGAATCGGCCAGTGTGATAATAAAAAAAAAATAAGTATTCATACTAGAGTATATATCATGTTTCTATATTACTTATAGTTTATTATGTCATATTAGATCAATTCTGATAGATAAATAAACCATAGAGTTGATATAAGCATTATATTGATAGATAGAAAAAGTTAAAAAAAACAGGGGGGATATTTGTTTTTGGAGTGGTTGGTGCAATTATTTAATAAAAAGTATGGAAGAGGGTAAAAGGTACCTAGGGATTGGCACAGAGAGCATGCATAGTTCCCTTTGTATAAAGGCAAAGGGGAATAAAAGAGAGTGCAAAAATTATAGGGGATAAGTCTGTTGAGTATACCTGGTAAAATGTTATGGTAGAGTTATAATTGAAAAATTAAGAGTAAGACGGGAGAATAGGATAGCAGATGAACAAGGAGGCTTTAGGAAAGGTAGGGGGGTGTGTGGACCAGGTGTTTACAGTGAAATATATAAGTGAACAGTATTTAGATAAGGCTAAAGAGGTCTTTGTGGCATTTATGGATTTGGAAAAGGCGTATGACAGGGTGGATAGGGGGCAATGTGGCAGATGTTGCAAGTGTATGGTGTAGGAGGTAGGTTACTGAAAGCAGTGAAGAGTTTTTACGAGGATAGTGAGGCTCAAGTTAGAGTATGTAGGAAAGAGGGAAATTTTTTCCCAGTAAAAGTAGGCCTTAGACAAGGATGTGTGATGTCACCATGGTTGTTTAATATATTTATAGATGGGGTTGTAAGAGAAGTAAATGCGAGGGTCTTGGCAAGAGGCGTGGAGTTAAAAGATAAAGAATCACACACAAAGTGGGAGTTGTCACAGCTGCTCTTTGCTGATGACACTGTGCTCTTGGGAGATTCTGAAGAGAAGTTGCAGAGATTGGTGGATGAATTTGGTAGGGTGTGCAAAAGAAGAAAATTAAAGGTGAATACAGGAAAGAGTAAGGTTATGAGGAACAACAAAAAGATTAGGTGATGAAAGATTGGATATCAGATTGGAGGAGAGAGTATGGAGGAGGTGAACGTATTTTAGATATTTGGGAGTGGACGTGTCAGCGGATGGGTCTATGAAACATGAGGTGAATCATAGAATTGATGAGGGAAAAAGGGTGAGTGGTGCACTTAGGAGTCTGTGGAGACAAAGAACTTTGTAATTGGAGGCAAAGAGGGGAATGTATGAGAGTATAGTTTTACCAACGCTCTTATATGGGTGTGAAGCGTGGGTGATGAATGTTGCAGCGAGGAGAAGGCTGGAGGCAGTGGAGATGTCATGTCTGAGGGCAATGTGTGGTGTGAATATAATGCAGAGAATTCGTAGTTTGGAAGTTAGGAGGAGGTGCGGGATTACCAAAACTGTTGTCCAGAGGGCTGAGGAAGGGTTGTTGAGGTGGTTCGGACATGTAGAGAGAATGGAGCGAAACAGAATGACTTCAAGAGTGTATCAGTCTGTAGTGGAAGGAAGGCGGGGTAGGGGTCGGCCTAGGAAAAGTTGGAGGGAGGGGGTAAAGGAGGTTTTGTGTGCGAGGGGCTTGGACTTCCAGCAGGCATGCATGAGCGTGTTTGATAGGAGTGAATGGAGACAAATGGTTTTTAATACTTGACGTGCTGTTGGAGTGTGAGCAAAGTAACATTTATGAAGGGATTCAGGGAAACCGGCAGGCCGGACTTGAGTCCTGGAGATGGGAAGTACAGTGCCTGCACTCTGAAGGAGGGGTGTTAATGTTGCAGTTTAAAAACTGTAGTGTAAAGCACCCTTCTGGCAAGACAGTGATGGAGTGAATGATGGTGAAAGTTTTTCCTTTTTGGGCCACCCTGCCTTTGTGGGAATCGGCCAGTGTGATAATAAAAAAAAAAAAAAAATTGAAGTATTTTCTCCTGCTCCTTGAGACTCGGGAATTTCGCTGACGTAAGCAAATGTTCCCAGACGGTTCCTGATCTCCAAGGTAAATACACTTTATAAAACCAGTTTATTTCTTTACATTCTCTTTTATTATGTTTTTATACAATATTTTTTATTTATAAATACATTTTTCTTATTTAAAAACTCGTAACAAAAAAATTGGGGTGGTGTTTTTTGGGGGCTGGACCGGATTAACGGCATTTCAGTTAATTTCAATGAGGAAAATTGATTTGATATATGAGTAAATTGAGTTACGAGCTCTGTCACAGAACGAATTAAACTCGTAAGTCAAGGTACCACTGTATATAATGTAATATAATGTGATCCTACATTAGGGCTGTGGGGGGTGTTGACCCCTAGAACACCCTCCAGGTAGGCTCTAGGTAGGGGTTCTCACTTCAGATTATTGAAAATTTAGAATACAGTAATAAAAATTGAACATCTTCCTCTTATTAGTACTTGGATTAAAAAATCTACAGTATGTATTCTCCAAATTGTTATTTGGAATTTTCACACTGAAGAAAAAAAATTCAGATATTATTAAAATATAAAGGCCTCAAATAAAAAAGTTTTTAATTACACTGCTGTAAGACCCTTTTGGGTTTAGCGCTTCATTTGATTTTTTTTGTTTTCATTGTTTTAATTACACTACCTTCACTTAAACACATCATTACTACTTCATTCTGTTGACACAAGGTTTCCTGAAGGTTTCCCCTTCAAGGAGGGGGGAGGAACCCTCCCTGATATTGAAGTGCTCTTGATTTAAGGAACTGGAGCTACTCTTCCCTTCCTCTGTATAAACTTGATTACTTCCCATTCCCCAGGCTCTGTTTGATCTATGGGTTTAGTGCTTCCCCATGAATATAACAATAATCCTTGGGTTTGGAGCTGTCATTATCGGTAACTCCCAGTATTTTGCATTCAATCTGTGTTCCACTCACAGAAATGACCCTAGTAGGTTTAGGACTTCTTTTTGATAATAACCCACTCACAGAATGGTGGATCTTTTCCAGCTTTCAGTACCAGTGTCAGGAAGTACAAGTTATTTTTTTTTTATTATCACACTGGCCGATTCCCACCAAGGCAGGGTGGCCTGAAAAAGAAAAACTTTCACCATCATTCACTCCATCACTGTCTTGCCAGAAGGGTGCTTTACACTACAGTTTTTAAACTGCAACATTAACACCCCTCCTTCAGAGTGCAGGCACTGTACTTCCCATCTCCAGGACTCAAGTCCGGCCTGCCGGTTTCCCTGAATCCCTTCATAAATGTTACTTTGCTCACACTCCAACAGCACGTCAAGTATTAAAAACCATTTGTCTCCATTCACTCCTATCAAACACGCTCACGCATGCCTGCTGGAAGTCCAAGCCCCTCGCACACAAAACCTCCTTTACCCCCTCTCTCCAACCTTTCCTAGGCCGACCCCTACCCCGCCTTCCTTCCACTACAGACTGATACACTCTTGAAGTCATTCTGTTTCGCTCCATTCTCTCTACATGTCCGAACCACCTCAACCCTTCCTCAGCCCTCTGGACAACAGTTTTGGTAATCCCGCACCTCCTCCTAACTTCCAAACTACGAATTCTCTGCATTATATTCACACCACACATTGCCCTCAGACATGACATCTCCACTGCCTCCAGCCTTCTCCTCGCTGCAACATTCATCACCCATGCTTCACACCCATATAAGAGCATTGGTAAAACTATACTCTCATACATTCCCCTCTTAACACTAGTAACAGGTTTGTGGCTAACGATGCCAATTTGCAGAAACAAATTTAGCTCCTATGTTAATTTAAATGAGGAAAATTGACTCGGCATACGAACAGATCTGGATACGAATGAGGTCATGGAACGGATTAAATTCGTAAGCCGAGGTTCCAATGTATATACAGTATTTCGAAGTTGCTAATGATGAGTTGCTATTGTTTTAACCCTTTGACTGTTTCAGGCCCCTCTCTGAAACTGTCATTCTATGTCGCTCAATTTTTGAAAAAAAAAAAAAATTATTTTTTCTTATGAAATAATAGAGAATCTTTTCCCGATGGTAATGACACCAAAAGTTCGAAATTTGGTCGAAAACTCGTGGAATTATGCTCCCGCGAAGTTAGCGGTCTCTGCGACATATGCGTATCGGCGATTTCGCCGACTTTGAGCCCTATTTTCAGCCAATTCCATTGTTCCAGTTGACCAAACTCATAGCTATTTCTTTAGAACTCCATTTTATCTATCAGCTGAGTACAAGAAACCTCCCATTTACTAATTTGGACTACCCAATATGGTGGTCAGAAATTGGCAATTTGGCCAATTTCATGCAAAATAAAAAAGATGCCAATTTCAAAATAGGGTCCAGAATAAACAAGGTAGACATTCGTGGCACTAAAATAACATATGCTCTGTTCATTAGTCACATCTCTAGGCCCCTCTTATATTATTATTGCTTTCTATTTTGATTTTTTATTCATACAAAAAAAATACAAAATTTACTGTTATGCAGACGACTGCATTATTGTAAAAATGGTATAAATAATATCAGTGCACTAGTGAAAGAATAGACTCCCCAGTTGACGTGTATTGGACGTGTGGTGTGATTTATTTACTCTTGAACATTGGTAAAAATCGAACATTTCCGCTACTTTGAGCTCAGTTTCAAGGTCGTTTTCATCGTAAAAGTAATGAAAATCATCTCTATTTCTGTAATATGTTTTCCATTTTATTACATAAGACCATGAAAACGCGAATAAAACGATAAATACTATACGAAAATACACCTCAAAGTCGGCGTTTTATTCCAAAAAAACGATCAGTTTTTTTTTCTCATTACGCAATGTGTGCTGCAGGATTTTTTTTATGTGGTGCACACTGACCACACAGACCCATTCTCTCACATGTGGGCCTACCAGCTTTCTCCCACTTGATTTGAAGCCGCTAGAATTATTGAGTATATATACGTCAGAAACATTGGCTCGTAAGACGTATTTATACGTCGAAAACAGTCAAAGGGTTAATTAGGTGACAAGTCATTGCGAAGTGGAATTGTTCTGTAACGTTTCCTTTATTGTTAAGCAAAATACGCATAAGTAAACAGTCACTAATTGAGGGATTACTATATAAAGAAATTATGCATATTATAAAATAATTTATACTCAATACATTGTTTTATTTACATAAGGAAATTTTTGGGTCACATTTTTTGCTATGCAAATTTGACTTATTTGATGACATTGAAGGTCTCATGATCTAAAAAATTGGAGCTACCCAGTCTTTCCTTGAATTGAAAGTGATTGCTTCCCTTTCCCCAAGGCAGGTTTAATGCTCTCTCATGTAATGAATGAAATGCTGTAATTAGAATATTCCCGTCCCTTTTACAACAGATTTGATGTTGGAAAAATGGTGAGTAAAGTTGAAGTTCCCATTTCATGGGATACCAGGAGTGGTGCTTTATCCAAATATCTTGCTGATGTTGGAGCTCAGGAAATGATAGCAGTGTTGCAGAATTTGACAGTAAAGTTACGAGATGCCATACCACAGACTGAAGATGGTGTTACCAAAGGTACAGAATGATGTAAATTTAGCCAGTAAACCTTTCATTTTAATCTTAGTTGCTTATTTTCAACTGTGCATCTTATAAATTGTTCTTTATTATTATTGCATCAACCCCTCAAAAGAGATGCCTTGATGCCAGTGAGGGGCTCTTGATATGTGGAAGTGAACCCTTCCTTCCCTACCATGGATCAGACTTGAGTGCCTCCCATTATCTTTGTACTGTATAAACTCTGTGGGTTTAGTGCTCCCTCTAACTGCACCCCAATCATAATACTGTTCTGTAATAATAATAATATTGCACTATGTGCTTGGGTATTAATCCTTAGTGTAGTAAATGGGTGCATATATACACTATATTGTAATGCTAAAATACATATTTGCAAAAGCTTAATGAGAAAAAAAATTCTTTTCAGCACCAAAAATATCTGAGGCTTCTTCTAAAATTGACTGGAATTGTTGTACATGTCATAAAATCCAGTCCATGTATAGAGCTTTTGATGACTACTTCCCATTATGGACACTGTGGCATGGAGCACCAGTCAAACTCAGAGACATGGTCATGCACAAAGAATGGTCACATCATCATTTCAGTGAAATGCAAGTAGAAGAACAAATAACGGAAGGTGAAGCACAGGGTAGTGAATGTATTAAAGAAAATGCTATAGAAAATTGTGAAAAAAGTGCTACAGATTATGACTTTGCTGGAGATCAAAATGACATAAGAAAAAACTGTACTGTAAGTAGAAAAAATCATCCACCAGGAAGAGTAATTTTTAATAAAAAAATGAAAGTGGTGAGTGTTCTGTGTCGGGATGGTTGGGTGAGCTTCAAATCAGTTATAATAAAGGGAAGAAAGCCAATGAGTGCTTTAGATTTTTACAATGGTTTCATAACTAAAATACCAAAAGATCAACATAAATTTGATTAACACAAAGTGAAATTAATAATACGTACACCTGTTAAATGCCCTAATTTAAAATACGTACTGTATTATATTTGTATATAATTTTGGCAAATAAATTTTTAAACAAATTTCTTATTTTATTCTCGACTATTAATATTGTATGTTTAAAGATTTTAAATTTCTATTTTGATTAAGCTCATTCATAAAATCACTTAAGAAATTCTGTGCTATAAAAAAAGTATAGTGGTAGTTCTTATTATGGTTATAAAGTATTGTAATAATAATTTGTTATTACTATTATTGTACTACTAATTAAGTAGTACTAATACTGTACTCCATTCTCCTCAGCTGTGTACCTCTATTTTAAATGTGTTTTAAAACCAGAAGCTGTTAACAGACTGCATACGTCAACCATGTGCTGAAGACAGGTGATCAAATTAATTTCATGTCAAGATTTAACTGTTTGGATCAAATAGTACTCAAAATTTACAATATATGTGATTAATGTAATTTTAATTTAGGTAGTATTATACAGAATGTTGTATGAAAAGTTCAGTCTTGGACTAAATATTCTAATAAGTTTTTTTTTTTTTACATTTTTTTTACATTATAAAGTTATAAGATTTTTCTTACATTTTTTTTTTACAATAAAAAGTAATAAGGTTTTTCTTACATTGTGTATTCTCACCACCTCACCTGTCAACTTATGCCATCACTTGGCCACTAGTACCTGTATAGTACAGTGGAACCCCAGTTATCTGCCGCTTCTGTTATCGGCCAACTCAGTGATCGGCCGGTTTTTTGGCGCCCAGTTATCGGCCATTAATTCGGTGATCAGCCATTTAGGGTGCATTCCGTCCACCGGCTGGGGCCACTTGCACGTCAGTTTGGCTGTGTCTCTCGGTGGCTGAGGAAGCTTCTGTTCATACATCCAAACATTTCGCTTATTTCCCATTGTAGTTTGTGTTATTTTTGCAGTGCAACTGTGAAATAAGTAACCATGGCTCCAAAGAAAGTTCCTGTGGTAAAGAAAGTGAGAAACACCATGGAATTTAAGCGTGAAGTGATAGAAAACTTTGAGTGTGGTATGAGGGTGGTGGAACTTGCCAGGATGTGCAGCAAGAATAAATCAACAATTACATCCATCCTGGCAGAGAGAGAACAAATCAAGGACACTAATGTTGCAAAAGGAGTAACCTTTCTAACTAAACAAAGGCTACCAATAATGGAAGAGATGGAAAAGAAATTATTATTGTGGATTAAGGAAAAAGAATTAGTGGGAGACAGTGTTGTGGAGTTGATTATTTGTGAGAAGGCAAGGCAGTTGCACGAGGATCTTGCAAAGAAAATGCCTGGAACAAGTGCTGCAGTTTGTGAATTTAGGGCCAGCAAAGGATGGTTTGATAGATTTAAGAAACGTAGTGGCATACACAGTGTTGTAAGGCATGGCGAGGCTGCAAGTTCTGACAAATATGCGGCTGAACGGTATGTTCACGAATTCCAAGACTATGTAAAGGCTGAAGGATTCGAACCTCGACAAGTGTTCAATTTTGACAAAACAGGCCTGTTTTGGAAGAAAATGCCAAACAGGACCTACATTACCCAGGAGGAAAAGGCACTGCCAGGACACAAGCCCATGAAAGACAGGCTTACTCTTTAGTTGTGTGATAATGCTAGTGGGGATTTCAAAGTGAAGCCTTTACTCGTGTATTACTCGGAAAATCCCAGTGTGTTCAAGAAAAACAATGCATGAAGAATAGATTGTGTGAGATGTGGAAAGCTAATCATAAGGCATGGGTCACAAGGCAAATTTTCTAAGAGTGGGTTAATGATGTGTTTGGCATAAGTGTGAAAAAGTACCTCCTGGAAAAGAAATTACCACTCAAGTGCCTCCTGGTACTGGACAGTGCTCCTGCACTTCCTCCAGACTTGGAAGACCAAGACCAAGTTCTTGCCTCCTAACAACACTCCTCTCCTCCAGCCCATGGACCAGCAGGTCATTTCTAACTTCAAAAAACTCTACACCACAGCAGTGTTTCAAAAGCGCTTTGAAGTGACCTTGGACACTCAGTTGACCCTTAGAGATTTCTGGAGGAATCACTTCAGTATCCTCCACTGCATAAGCCTTATAGGTAAGGCTTGGGAGGGAGTAGCTTCCAGGACTTTGAACTCTGCTTGGAGAAAACTGTGGCCAGATTGTGTCCAAGAAACGGATTTTGAGGGGTTTGAGGCTGACCCTGACCCTGTGGACTCTATTGTGGCACTTGGGAAGTCCCTGGGGTTGGGAGGTGAGTGGTGAGGATGTGGAAGAGTTGGTGGAGGACCACAGGGAATAGCTAACCACTGAAGACCTGCAAGAGCTTCAACTCGAACAGCAACAGACTGCAGCTGAGGAACTTGCTTCAGAGGAGGAAGAGGGAGTGAATGAGGTGCCTTCTTAATTGATTAAGAACATTTGTGCAAAGTGGAATGATGTGCAAAGTTTTGTCGAGAAATACCACCCTGACAAAGCTGAAACAAGCCATATCTGCAACATGTTTAGTGACAACACCCTGTCCCACTTCAGGGAAATCTTTAAAGAGATGCCAGAAACAGAGCACTCTGGACAGTTATTTTGTGAGACAGGGGTCCAGTGACTCAAGATGGTCCTAGTGGCATTAAAAGACAAAGAAGGGAAGTAATCCCAGAGAAGGCTTTGCTGCCTAAAGTCTTTATGGAGGGGGATTCCCCTTCCAAACACTAACTTCTCCCTCTTTCCTCTTTCCTATCTTCCAGAAGCCAGCATTAGCCTTCAATAAAGTTATGTAATATTTATCTAATTAAATTTTTTTTTTTGTAAGTATTTTTTGTCTGGAACGGATTAAATGTATTTACATTAATTCTTATGGGAAATATTATTTCGGTTTTCGGCGGACCTCCTGGAATAGATTACGGCCGATAACCGAGGGTTCGCTGTACTATATAAATTCTTAAATATTTGATACATGGTGATTATGTCCAGGAAGTGCAATGCTTAACCATTTTATTTTAATCAGGGGGAAAGCATTAAACCTGTGGTGTTGTTAAGCATCTGGGGAATGGAAGGTATTTAGGTTTGATCCAAGGGGCTCTTTATCCAAGTTCTTGGCTAAAGAACCCCTCATTGGCATCAAGGTACCTTCCATGAGGAAAGGGGACATTCAAGGCTTAGCAAGTTCTTTGTCAATATCTATAGTAAACCTGACCAACCAAATACTACAGTGGTACTCTGAGTTTCGAACTTAATCAGTTCCAGGAGCTAGTTCTAAAGTCGAAACGTTCGAAACTCGAAGGAATATTTCCCACAAGAAATAATGTAAATACAATTAATCTGTTCCAGAAACCCAAAAATATTCACAAAAAATAAATTTTATAGAGATTAATTATAGTTTTACATACACATAACATACATAGTACAATTAGTAATAGATAAATAAACATTTAAATAAACATATAAATAACATTTTTACTTAGGTTTATTGAAGATTGTCGATGGCATCTGGAAGATAGGGAGGAGTGAGGGAGCACTTATTGTTTGGAAGGGGAATCCCCTTCCATAAAGACTTTAGGTAACAAGTCTTTATCTAGGGTTACTTCTTCTCTAAGATTTCCCTAAAATGGGACATGGTTCTGTCACTGAACTTGTTGCAGAGATGGCTTGTTTCAGCTTGCTCAGGGTGATATTTTTCAGCAAATGCCTGCACCCTATTCCACATTGCACAAATCTCCTTAATCTCTGAAGAAGGCACCATCCACCACCCACTTTCACCACCATGGTAGCTTATTTCACAGTCACACTTAATAAGCAAGCACCAAGCATAATGAATTAATTGTGAAATGTTTAAATGAGTGCACAGGTTGGTGTTCACTCAAGCATAAACAAAGCCAGACTGGCTCACGACGCCTGCGCGGGCAGACGGATAGGTCTGGTACACAGTTTGAAACACGGGGCACGTTCGATACTGGGGACAAAATTGGTGTGAAAAAATCAGTCGAAACTTGAAGCGTTTGATGGTCGATGCGTTCGAAACTCAGGGTTCCACTGTACTGTGCACATCATTCACTGCTATGGTATTACTAGGGTTGGCCATTACATTATGTGCCTTTGAAATTTAAACTAGAATTATTAACAGTGTATGTACAGGAAATTAAAACTTTCAATATATTTTTATTTTAATATTACTGATGGCTTATGAGACAATAACCATCCTAAGCACTGACACTTTGCAATGATATACCATATATGCTGGCATACAAGTCAACCCCTAAAATGTGGAGGCATTAATTCAGGCTTAGACCTAAATTTTTCCTAATAAGTCAATCCATCCCCTCCCCCTCCCCTTCCCCCCCCCCCAACAAAAAAAAATTAAGGCAGCATTACTTCCATCAGACTGTCAAGTTCAGAGGGTCTGAATGGATTGTTAGAGGAATATTAGAAAATAGTGTTTTATTTTTTTGTATTTTAGTTTTCTTTTTTAACTGTCCATATCCCACAGAGGCAGGGTGTCCTAAACAGAAAAACACAAGTTTTTATTTTTAGTTTTTTTTAATAAAATGTGACATTCTTTTTATGAAAAACATGTGTCAGGGCAACAAAAATAAAACAGGTAAGAAGTAGCAAATAAAACTTACAACTGTAGTTCAAGTTATGGTACAAGTGTGATAGCATCAGTAAGCTAGTGGTGTTACTTCCCTCCTTTGGTAATGTGCCATAGCCTTATTTTCACCTCTGCCATGTATCAGCAACTTCAATACTTGGCTTAAAACTTTGATTTATACACCAGCATATACAGGAGTACAGTTCACACATTTTATTTTAACACAGTATATTTAGTACTCTGTGAATATAATAATCTGGATTATAAATATAAAGTAAATGTTTAACCCTTTCGGGGTCCCCAGGCCCTCTCCGAGACTTGTTCTCAGGGTCCCCAAATTTAAAAAAAAAAAAAAAAAATTTTTTCTTATGAAAAGATAGAGAATCTTTTCCTGATCATAATGACACCAAAAGTATGAAATTTGATGGAAAACTTACGGAATTATGCTCTTGCGAAGTTAGCGGTCTTGACGATATTTACACATCGGCGATTTTGCCCACTTTGAGCCCTATTTTCGGCCAATTCCAGTGTACTAGTCGACAAAAATCATAACTATTTTGCTAGAACTCCATTTTTTCTATCAAATAAGTACAAGAAACTACCCATTTACCGATTTCAACTATCCAATAAAGTGGTCAGAATTTAGCAATTTTGCCAATTTCACACAAATTTCAAAAGATGCCAATTAATAAACAAGAAAGACATTCCTAGCACTAAAATAAATTCTCTGTTCATTAGTTACATCCCCAGGCCCCTCTTATATTTCTTTGGCTTTCCACTGAATTTTTATTCTCACAAAAAATAGAAGATTTACTGTTATGCAGACTACTGCATTAGTGCAGAAATGGTATAAATAATACCAGCGCACTTGTGAAAGAATATTAGACTTGCCAGTTGATGTGTATTGGATGCTTGGCATGATTTGTTTACTTTTCAACTTTGGTAAAAATCAAAGATTTCTGCTACTTTGAGCTCAATTTCAAGGTACTTTTCATTGTAAAACCAGTCAAAATCATCTCAATTTCTGTAATATGTCTTCCATTCTATAAAATGAGATCAGGAAAACTAGAATACAACAATAAATACCATACGAAAATACAGTGCAGTCGCTGTTTTAATCCAAAAACACGGTCAAAGTTTTTTTTTTCTCATTACGCACTGTGTGCTGCAGGATTTTTTTTTATACTGCGCACACTGACCACATAGACCCATTCTTTCATATGTAGGCCTACCAGCTTTCTCTCACTAGATTTGAGGGCGCTAGAATTTAGGCGTACTAGTATGTCAAAAACCCTGGGGCGTAAGCCGTACCAGTACGGCCGAAACCCTGAAAGGGTTAATAATTCAAGGCACTATCATATGAAAAGTGACTGTGCCAGACAATTTGATTTCCTGTGCAGTAATTTAAATTCATATGTTTAAAAAGTTAATGAAATTAAGTAAAACAGTTTTTGGATGTGCATAAAAATAAAATTGCAACTTGCAATTTACTGATTTATTTTACAGTATTAACATTTGTATACAAAATGAAAAAAGAATTCTGACAGCTTCTTCTAAGGCACATACACAAAACTGTATGGATATAGAACATAAAAAAGTAAAAAATTCAACGTTGAAAATAAAAAATATGTCTAGAGAAACTGTACCATAGTTATATAAATTAATTTAGTTGGTATGAAAAATAAAATATTTTAGCTGGCCTTAGAAAGCTTATAAGTACTGTAACTTGATGTTATTAGAAATGAAGCAAGTGTAATTAACAGCACTGGAAAAGTTTTGGCTGTATTGAAAATATAAATATACCTTACAAACTCATTCTGTATAGATTCATATCAATTACATTTTTGTACTGTACAAAATTTAACAGAGGACCGAAACTCTCAAGATACTGTACAAGCAAAAACCAATACAGATACAGTAATGTATATATATACTGTATATGGTAAAAAAATATAATTTCCAACTTTCTAATTTGGAAAACTGATTCCTACAAAGTAAATAAAACTGTACCATAGATACCAGTGTGTAAATTAATGAATTTTGTATCACAGTTTTAAATGTTTTATCCTTCCATAAATAAAGAAAAACTAAATAATACAGCCATATCCATTAAGTTTACTTTTCTGGTCTAATTACTCTAACCTTCTCATTATGAAAGATTAGATCGGTGCGAGAAGGATAGAGAACCCGTAGTCCTCCACACTCCTCCTCAACACGAACTTGTTGAACTGATAACAATGCTTTTCCATCAGCATTCTTTGCAGGACTGATTCCAATTTGTAAGGCAGAAAGAATCAAAGCATCAGTTACTTCCTTAGCCTTTCCTAATGATGTGCTGCTAGTCACCTCTACGAAGATATTCTCCGTTTCTTGTGATATCTGTTAAGTGAATATAAAGAATGTTGTCATAGAAATTTATCTGCTTGCTGTCTTTCTAATTTTATGTATGAATTGATGGAGATTTTGTAGCAAAATAATTCACAAAAAGAGGAAATGCATATAATTTCTTTAAAACATAGTTGACCCTCATTTATCATAGAAGTTACATTCTTGAAAATGGTGTGTAAATAATCATGTACAATGAAATGAACACACAGGAAAAATAGGGTTACATTCCTGGGACCCTAAAAGTGCTACTTTCCCCCCTAGGTTTTGTAATTCTAAAAGAAAATAATAATAATGTAATTGCAATAGCATGTAATGAGGTGTATATAATTAAAATACAATACTTGTAGTTAAAAAGATTACACAAATTTGTTTTCTTGCTTTAAATTCTGGTTGCTTATGTATGTCAATGATCTTAAGAGTAGTAATGATGGTGTTGTCTTATTGGGCTCAAGTTCTTGCACTGATGTTGATGCAGGGTTGTCATTAGGTGACAGCTGTTATGAAGTGCTCAGGTATTCTGCTTTACAAAGCAGTACATTGTAAAGCTGATGGTACACAACTGCTGCTCCAGACCATGCTTCGGAATAGTGCTTCTGAAAGTTTCAGGATCCTTTTCAGTGAAAATGTCTGCAATTTTACTAACACACAACTGTTCCAGCAACTGTTGCAGTGTTAACCGTTATTTGCAGGTTCTTTTTCCTCATCCTTTTCTATTATCTGCCCTCCTCCTATCTGGGATAGAGCTCTGCCAATATTTCCTATGGACTTCTTTCTTCCTAATCATCTTCTAAGAGTTCATTCATATCTTTTGGCAGTTAGGAGGTTAGGAAGTTAGGAGGTGGTGCGGGATTACCAAAACTGTTGTCCAGAGGGCTGAGGAAGGGTTGTTGAGGTGGTTCGGACATGTGGAGAGAATGGAGCGAAACAGAATAACTTCAAGAGTGTATCAGTCTGTAGTGGAAGGAAGGCGGGGTAGGGGTCGGCCTAGGAAAGGTTGGAGGGAGGGGGTAAAGGAGGTTTTGTGTGCGAGGGGCTTGGACTTCCAGCAGGCATGCGTGAGCGTGTTTGGTAGGAGTGAATGGAGACAAATGGTTTTTAATACTTGACGTGCTGTTGGAGTGTGAGCAAAGTAACATTTATGAAGGGGTTCAGGGAAACCGGCAGGCTGGACTTGAGTCTTGGAGATGGGAAGTACAGTGCCTGCACTCTGAAGGAGGGGTGTTAATGTTGCAGTTTAAAAACTGTAGTGTAAAGCACCCTTCTGGCAAGACAGTGATGGAGTGAATGATGGTGAAAGTTTTTCTTTTTCGGGCCACCCTGCCTTGGTGGGAATCGGCCAGTGTGATAATAAATGATAATAAATCTTCAAGTCCTCACCTGACAATCCCCTTGCTAAAACAATTTCCTGGACATAACACTATTGAGGGGAAAAATCTGTGACATTCACTACACTAAACTATAATGTTTCTCACCCTGAATTTACTGTTGTTTAGGGAAACTTCATTTTATGTAGTTCTGATGTAGTTACTATATCTACAATGTGAAATTTACACCAGAACTCAGACACTCCAAGCTCTGATACAGCATTCACTGCTGGGAGAAGTTTCCATATCACCCTGCATGTGTAGATGCACTTCAACGTTCTAGTGCCTCCTGTATACAGTGATTGTATCAAACATGTCATATCAGGTGCTAAAAAGACAACTTTCACACGTGAGTGCACATCTTCCAAGAGTTCAGAATGAGTATGGGAATTATGAAGAGTAAGGAAACCCTTGAGTGCAAAATTCTTGTTGTGCAGGTAAAAAAAAAAAAACTGATTTCCAGGAATAAAATTATGTTTGAACCAGTCATCATCCAAGCTAACTGGTTAAGTCTCCAAATAACTGGCAAACTATTTCTGTCTTTACCTTTTAAATCATGAGGAGTCTTGAAACAATAGCATGGATTTACACTGATACATTATCATGCAGACACAGACACAAACTGAAAATTCTTGCCTGCCTTGAATCCAAGTGCACTTTTCTCTTGCTGGTTGACTAAGTTCTATAGGGCATTATCTTAAAACTGTCATGTCAGTATTAAAACACACACACAGAAGTTCAGGGTTTCCTCATCACAGATTTATAGTACTCTAGGGCATTATTCCTTATGAAGAAATTAAGTGGTGAATCTTTCCTGATTTTCTGCTCAATCCATTCAATATTTTTTCTATCTTATTTAGCTGTTATGGCTTGTATACAATTCTTTTCAGGAATTCCCAACCTTGGTTGCTCATTGCATAAACATTTCTTATTCTTTTAAATCAGATGCAATGATGCTTCTTTGTGATCAATGGCTTTTATGGTCTCCACAACATGTACATATACCACTTTTTAGTTTATCTAGAATCTATGAAAATAAGATGGGTTGATGAAAAGATAGAGTTCGATTCACCAACACAAGACTGAGTATGGTATAGGATGTGTATGCAGGAAGAACTGGTGATAGGAGGATGTTTACATTAAGACTAGGTCTCTCCATGAAAACAATGGTGTCACCCGTTAGCTGGCTGCTAGACGGAGGGAAAACATCCAGTGGCATGCTATATTTTTCTCTTATGTTGTGCTAAATGAAAGTTAATATGTAAATTTTGATCATGTTATGTTGAAAATGTGTTGAAAGATCACATGTTAAACAAGGGCCTACTGTGTTTCAAAATATGGACTGGAAACTTTTATTTTCCACTTTAACCCTTTGAGGATCCAAGTAAATCTACACCTTGACCACAGAGTCCAAGAACTTTCAAATTTTTATTTTTATTTTTTTCTTATGAAATGAAAGAACATTTTTCTGAAGGTAATAAAACAAAAAGTACGAAATTTGATGGAAAATTCACAAAATTACACTACAGTGGACCCTCGACCAGCAATGGCATCGATTAACGATAAATCTGACTAGCGATACATTTTATCGCAAAAATTTTGCCTCGATTAGCACTAAAAAACTCGACCAACACTATTCGTTCCGTCTGAGACGTGTCCACTTCTGGCCAGTGTTTACAAGCCACCCAGCCACCGCGGTCGCTTCCAAGCATACAATCGGAACATTTCATATTATCACAGCCTTTTTAGTGATTGCACCTGCAAAATAAGTCACCATGGGCCCCAAGAAAGCTTCTAGTGCCAACCCTACAGCAAAAAGGGTGAGAATTACTATGGATATGAAGAAAGAGATCATTGCTAAGTATGAAAGTGGAGTGCATGTCTCCGAGCTGGCCAGGCTGTACACAAAACCCCAATCAACCATCGCTACTATTGTGGCCAAGAAAACGGCAATCAAGGAAGCTGTTCTTGCCAAAGGTGCAACTATGTTTTCGAAACTGAGATCGCAAGTGATAGAAGATGTTGAGAGACTGTTATTGGTATGGATAAACGAAAAACAGATAGCAGGAGATAGCATCTCTCAAGCGATCATATGTGAAAAGGCTAGGAAGTTGCATGACGATTTAATTAGAAAAATACCAGCAACTAGTGATGTGAGTGAATTTAAGGCCAGCAAAGGTTGGTTTGAGAGATTTAAGAATCGTAGTGGCATACATAGTGTGATAAGGCATGGTGAGGCTGCCAGTTTGGACCAAAAAGCAGCTGAAAAATATGTGCAGGAATTCAAGGAGTACATACAGTGAAGGACTGAAACCTGAACAAGTGTTTAATGGTGACACTGACAATGTTGTGAAACACTTTAGGAATGTCATAAAGGAACGGGAGGTACAGGCCTCTATGGGCAGATATGTTGTGCGACAGAGGTCCAGTGACTCAAGCTGGTCCTAGTGGCATTAAAAGAAGAAGGGAAGTAACCTGGAAAAAGGACTTGCCACCTCAAGTCCTAATGGAAGGGGATTCCCCTTCTAAACACTAAGACCATCAACACACTCCCCTCTTCCCATCCCATCAATCATCACCAGATCTTCAATAAAGGTAAGTGTCATGTAACTGTGCATGTCTTCTTCAGTTTGTATTAAAATTAATATTTCATGTGTTAAAAATTTTTTTTTTCAATACTTTTGGGTGTCTTGCACGGATTAATTTGATTTCCATTATTTCTTATGGGGAAAATTAACTTGACTAATGATTATTTTGACTAACGATGAGCTCTCAGGAACGGATTAATAGCGTTAGTCGAGGGTCCACTGTATTGAGAAAATTTTAGTGTGTCAGTGATATTTACACATCAGCGATTTTACCCACTTTGACTCCTATTTTAGGCCAATTACATTATTCCAGTCGACCGTTTTATTAAATGAGCACAAGAAACTGCCCAATCAACTATTTCAACTACCCAATAAAGTGATCAGAAATTGCTAATTTGGCCACTTTCACACAAAGTTCAAAATATTCCAGTTTCAAAATAAGGTCCAGAATAAACAATGCAAGCATTCCTGGTACTAAAATATCATTTCCTCTGTTTATTAGTTACGTTTCCTGGCTTTGCAGACAAATTCCGTTTTTATTTTTTATTTACATAGCGAATTCTTATTCATACCAAAAAATAGAAGATTTACTGTTATGCAATATTGTAATAATTGTATAAATAACATCAGCACATTTGTGAACGCATATCAGACCCACCAGTTGATGTGTATTGGACATGTGATGTCATTTGTTTACTCTTGAACATCGGCAAAAATCGAACATTTCCACTATTTTTAGCTCATTTTCAAGCCATTTTCAGTACTAAAACCAATCAAAATCATCTCTATATCTGTAATATATCTTCCATTCTATCAAATGAGACCAAGAAACCATGAATACAACTGTAAAAACTATACGAAAATACACCGCAAATTCGGTGTTTTAAGCCAAAAACACAATCACAGTTTTTTTTTTTTCATTATGCACTGCGTGCTGCAGGATTTGTTTTATATGGTGCACATTTACCACATAGATCCATTCTCTCATATCTAGGCCCATATTTATCACTCACAGCTTATCTGAGTGAGCTGAGCTCATGGTACAGAACTACGGCTTAGACCCTGTGGACAAGGCGTAGATCTACAGCTTGGGCCTTCCAAGGGTTAATTTATTGTACCTAAAATAATTTTTTTTTAATATTTTAGTAGTCTCTCTCTTTGTAAACACAGGCAGTCTTTTATGAGCTGTTTTTCCTGTATGGATGTAAGGGTTCCATATTTATAAACACCATCAACAGATAATTTGAATTCAATGAATAAACAGACTGCCCATATCCTTTAAAGGGAATTTTTTTTTTTACTAGACCTGCAGCAGTTTTAATGATGTGCATGAATATATATTAATTTTATTTAGCTTATATTTTTAGTCCCTGACATGAATTTAATGATTATAAATCAAAGTTATGATATAAGGCAACCACACACTTATCTACCTAGCTTTACTACACCAATCAATTGAACAGGAATACTAACTAATCTTCAATGTGGAACTACAAATGCACACAATCTTTTCTTTTTAACACACTGGCTGTCTCCCACTGAGGCAGTGACCCAAAATAAAAAAAATTTTCACCACCATTCACACATATCACTGTCTTTGTAGAGGCGTGCAAATATGACAGTTCGGATGTCACTCCAAACAGCAGATATCCCAAATCCCTCCTTGAAAGTGCAGGCATTGTACTTTCCACCTCAAGGACTCAAGTCTGGCTAACTGGTTTCCCTGAACCCCTTCACAAAATATTACCTGCTCACACTTCAACAGCGTGTCAAGTCCCAAAAACCATTGTCTCCAATCACTCCTATCTAATACTCTTGCACATGCCAGCTGTATGTCCAAGTCCCCTTGCACACAAAACCTCTTTTACCCCCCTCCCTCCATCCTTTCCTAGGATGACCCTACCCCTCCTTCCTTCCACTACAGATTTATACACCTTCTAAGTCATCCTATTTTGCTCCATCCTCTCTAAATGACCAAACCATCTCAACAACCCCTCCTCAGCCCTCTGAATAGTACTTTAATAGTAACTCCACACCGCCTCCTAATTTCCACAGTACAAATTCTCTGTATAATATTTACGCCACACATTTCCCTAAGACATGCCATCATTAACACCAGCTTCCTTCTCACTGCAACATTTACAACCCATACTTCACACCCATGTAAAAGTGTTGGAACCACTATACTCTCATACATTCCCTTCTTCACCTCCATGGATAATGTTCTTTGTCTCCACAGATACCTCTATGCACCACTCACCTTTTTTTTCTTCATCAGTTCTATAGGTTACCTCATCCTTCATGAACCCATTTGCCGACAACTCTACTCCCAAATATCTGAACATATTCACTTTGTCCACACTCCCTCTCACCAATCTGACATCCAATTTTTCCTTACCTAACTCATTTGATACCCTCATCACCTTACTCTTTTCCATACTCACTTTCAACTTTCTTTCTTTACAGTATTAATCACCTTTTTTTTCTTACCTTTGTGTTTTCTGAATTGGTGAGGGGAGGAAGAGAGATTACTTTTCCAGCAGCATCTGCAAGACATGGCCAGAGACTCCATCGCTCTACTAAGTGAAGAAATCTGCAAAATATGAAGTTGATATAAACTGCACTATCTTTAGTAAATAGGGAGAATAGACTGACAAAGAGTGTATAAATCTGGGTGGAAGGTAGGAGAGGAAGAAGTTGCCCCGAATGGTTGGGGAAGGGGTAAGGGAGGAATTTTAGGGGCCTGGACATAGGAGTCATCCCACACTCACTAAAAACAATAGACATAGCCCCATTCTACAAAGGTGGCAGTAAAGCAATTGCAAAGAACTACAGACCAATAGCGCTAACGTCCCATGTCATAAAAATCTTTGAAAGGGTTCTAAGAAGCAAGATTGCCAACCACCTAGATACCCATTAATTTCACAACCCAGGGCAACACAGGTTTAAAGCAGGTTGCTCCTGCCTGTCCCAGCTACTGGACCACTATGACAAGGTCCTGGATGCTATAGAGGATAAACAAAATGCAGATGTAGTATACACAGACTTTGCAAAAGCCTTCGACAAGAGTAACCATGGTGTAATAGTGCACAAAATGCGTGATAAAGGAATAACAGGAAAAGTTGGTAGATGGATCTATAATTTCCTGACAAACAGAAGATAAAGTAATAGTAAATAGTGTAAAGTCCCAGGCAGCTACAGTGAAAAGCTCTGTTCCACAAGGAACAGTACTTGCTCCCATCCTATTCCTCATCCTCATATCTGACACAGACAGAGATGTAAGCCATAGCTCCATGTCTTCATTTGCGAATGACACCCGAATTGCCATGACAGTGACCTCCATCGAAGACACTCTAAGACTCCAAGTGGACATCAACCAAATCTTCAAATGGGCCACTCAAAACAATATGAAGTTCATTGAAGAGAACTTTCTACTCAGATATAGAAAACTTGAGGAAATTAAAACTGTATCTGAGTATACAACAAATTCTAACCACACAACAGAGCAAAAAAGTAATGTGAGGGACCTGGGAGTGATAATGTCAAGAGGATCTCACCTTCAAAGACTACAACAATGTATCTACTGCATCTGCTAGGAAAATGATAGGATGGATAATGAGAACGTTCAAAACCAGGGATGCCAAGCCCATGATGATTCTCTTCAAATCGCTTGTTCCCTCTAGGCTGGAATACTGCTGTACACTAACTGCCCCCTTCAAGGCAGGCAAAACTGCTGACCTGCAGAGTGTACAAAGAACTTTCATGGTACACAAGTACGATAAGGCACCTAAATTACTGGGAATGGTTGAAGTTCATTGATTTGTATTCCCTGAAATGCAAGTGAGAGAGATACACGATAATATACACTTGGAAAATCCTAGAGGGATGAGTACCAAACTTGCACACAAAAATCACTCTCTATGAAAGCAAAAGACTCGGCAGGAGATGCAACATTCCCCCAATGAAAAACAGGGGGCACCATGAGTACACTGAGAGACAACACAATAAGTGTCAGGGGGCCCACGACTGTTCAACTGCCTCCCAGCATACATAAGGGGGATTACCAATAGACCCCTGGCTGTCTTCAAGAAGGCACTGGACAGGCACCTAAAATCAGTACCTGACCAACCGGGCTATGGTTCATATGTCAGTTTGTGTGCGGCCAGCAGTAACAGCCTCGATGATCAGACCCTGATCCCTCATGAGGCCTGGTCTAAGACCAAGCCATGAGGGCAATGACTTCTGAGACCCTCTAAAAGTATACTCCAGGTATCCAGAAAGCATGTATAACCATGTTTAATAAGAGTAAACAGATACAAGTGGCTCTTAATTTTCAGGTTGTTGGAGTGTGAGCAAGGCAACTTATAAAGAGCTTCAGGAAAAATGGTTAGCCACCAGTTCTGGAGGTGGGAAGGTCAGTGACTATACTTGGAAGGAGGGGTGGGGATGCTACAGTCAGAAGGTTATCTTACTGTCAGCAAGCTTTTTCCATGAAAAAAGAAAAACCAGAAATAAGAACTAACGAGAAAACCAGAATAAAAAAATACTGCAATATACATACACTGATTTTTTTTTTTTTGCTAAAACATCGGCCATTTCCCACCAAGGTAGGGTGGCCCAAAAAAGAAAAACTTTCATCATCATTCACTCCATCACTGTCTTGCCAGAGGTGCACTTACACTAGTTATAAAACTGCAACATTAACACCCTTCCTTCAGAGTGAAGGCACTGTACTTTCCCTCTCCAGGGCTCAAGTCTGGCCTACCGGTTTCCCTGAATCCCTTCATGAATATTACCCTGCTCACACTCCAACAGCATGTCAAGTCCTGAAAACCATTTGTCTCCATTTGCTATCTAACATGCTCACACATGTTTGCTGGAAGTCCAAGCTCCTCACACACAAAACCTCCTTTACCCCTCCCTCCAACCTTTCCCAGGCCGACCTCTACCCCACCTTCCCTCCACTACAGATTTATACACTCTTGAAGTCATTCTATTTTGTTCCATCCTCTCTACCTGTCAGAACCACCTCAACAACCCATCCTCAGCCCTCTGGATAATAATTTTGGTAATCCCACACCTCCTCCTAATTTCCAAACTATGAATTCTCTGCATTATATTCACACCACACATTGCCCTCAGACATGACATCTACACTGCCTCCAGCCTTCTCCTTGTTGCAACATTCACCACCCATGCTTCACACCCATATAAGAGCATTGGTATAACTATACTCTCATACATTCCCTTCTTTGCTTCCATGGACAAAGTTCTTTGTCTCCAAAGACTCCTCAGTGCACCACTCACCTTTTTCCCCTCGTCAATTCTATAATTCACCTCATCTTTCACAGACCCATCTGCTGATACGTCCACTCCTAAATATCTGAATACATTCACCTCCATACTCTCTCCCTCCAACCTGATATCCAATCTTTTGGTACCTAATTTTTTGTTATTCTCATCACCTTACTCTTTCCTATATTCACTTTTATATACATTGGCCATCTCCCACCAAGATAGTGACCCAAAAAACTCTGACACACCATAAAATACTAAGTTTTTAACAGATTCCATTCATTTTAGTATTATTCAATTCAGAAAAATAAACTCTTTCATTGTATAAGATTTTTTTTTCAAAACCTTCCTATACAGAAATTTCTTCAACTTTGAAGTATGTTTCTGGGTGGTTTATCATGATATTATTGGCTGTTTCTAGGTATCAATTTATAGAATGGAAGACATACTAGTGAAATGGAGATGATTTTGGTTGGTTCCATGCTGGAAGCGGCTTTAAATAGGCCTCAAAATGGCAGAAATATTAGATTTTTAGCAATTTTTCCAAGGAAGATCAGGGACTCCACTACTTCCTCCCCTTGGTCTGTTTTATGGGTTGTCATTAAGTCTGCTTCAATTATTGGGACAGCCTAAACCATGATCAGTCATTCTTAATTTTATTTTATTAACTGAGAACTACGGTAAAGCTATTTTTTATGTGATGCTGGATTCAAAATGGAGGGCAAGTGTTATGTAGGATAGGCCTGGGAACATGACTAATGAACAAAGGAAAGGTTGCTATAATGACGAAGCCCTAGCGCTAATTTTGGACTGTTTTTAAATTGGAATTTGTTGAATTTTTGTGTAAATTTAGCTAAACTACTGACTTCCATACACTTATAGGGTAGTTCTAATAGTTGAACGAACAATTTTCTAGTGAATTAGCCAGGAATCAGTCAGTCAGAGCAATGTAATCGGCCTAAAATAGGCCTCAGAGTGGGTTAAATTGCCAATGTATAAATTGTGCCCAGACCTCCAACTTTGTGCCTGTGTAATTATGTATGTTTTCATCAAATTTCACAATTTGAGAGGTCACTACCTTCAGAAAAATATTCTCTACCATTTTTTAAGAACAATTTAAAAATTCACTACAGTGGAAGGATTAAAATATGAACTACTTGACTACTTTTACACTTCTTTCTTTCAACACACCGGCCGTATCCCACCGAGGAGGGGTGGCCCAAAAGGAAAAAAGAAAGTTTCTCCTTTTACATTTAGTAATATATACAGGAGAAGGGGTTACTAGCCCCTTGCTTCTGGCATTTTAGTTGCCTCTTACAATACTCATGGCTTACGGAGGAAGAATTCTGATCCACTTCCCCATGGAGGTAAGAGGAAATAGACAAGAACAAGAACTAGAAAGAAAATAGAAGAAAACCCAGAGGGGTATGTATATATATGCTTGTACATGTATGTGCAGTGTGACCTAAGTGTAAGTAGAAGTAGCAAGACATACCTGAAATCTTGCATGTTTATGAAACAGAAAAAAGGACACCAGCAACCCTACCATCATGTAAAACAATTACAGGCTTTCGTTTTACACTCACTTGGCAGGACAGTAGTACCTCCCTGGGCGGTTACTGTCTACCAACCTACTACCTAGGACTTTTACACTTCTTTCTTTCTTTCAACACACCGGCCGTATCCCACCGAGGCGGGGTGGCCCAAAAGGAAAAACGAAAGTTTCTCCTTTTACATTTAGTAATATATACAGGAGAAGAGGTTACTAGCCCCTTGCTCCCGGCATTTTAGTCGCCTCTTACAACACGCATGGCTTACGGAGGAAGAATTCTGTTCCACTTCCCCATGGAGATAAGAGGAAATAAACAAGAATAAGAACTAGAAAGAAAATAGAAGAAAACCCAGAGGGGTGTGTATATATGTGCTTGTACATGTATGTGTAGTGGGACCTAAGTGTAAGTAGAAGTAGCAAGACGTACCTGAAAACTTGCATGTTCATGAGACAGAAAAAAGGACACCAGCAACCCTACCATCATGTAAAACAATTACAGGCTTTCGTTTTACACTCACTTGGCAGGACAGTAGTACCTCCCTGGGCGGTTACTGTCTACCAACCTACTACCTAGGACTTTTACACTTATACCTATGAAATTGTTAATATACTGCTTGGTAATACGTACAGTGGTACCTCGAATATCGAACAGCTCCCAACTCAAACAATTATGTAAGTGTAATTTTGTAAGTACTTTTTATAAGTGTATTTTTGGGGTCTGAAATGGACTAATCTAATTTACATTATTCCTTACGAGAACAAATTTGTTTGGTAATGGCACTCGAATAGCCTTCTGGAACGAATTATGGCTGAAATTCGAGGTACCACTGTGTTTTGTTAGTTTAATAAAACTATTAAATGATTATGAGATTCAATAAAAAATAGTACCCAGTACATACTTGTATAGCCCTGGAACAGTATTCCTCTTCTGTTGTTTTCTTTGAGTTTCTGCTTCATGCTGCAGCCCATCATACAATTCCCTGGCTGATACTTCCTTGCCTCTCACCAATGGATGAATACGGATTTCTTCTGGATTTTCAGCATTGAACTTCAAGGGGCCTCTTATCTTGGCCAAGTCATGTGTTGCAATTGTAGCTACCAACCTTTTTCCACACACACCTTCATGGAGTTTTGTCTATGAAAGGTGGCAAAATAATTGGTAAAAGTCGACACGAGTGGCAAAATAATTAATAAATGTTATTGGAGAAAACACGGCAACAGAAAAATGTAGATTATGTATGAGAGAAGGTGAAAGTGTTGAATGATGATGAAAGTATTTTTCTTTCTTTTTGGGTTTTTTCTTTCTTTTTGGGTCACCCTGCCTCGGTGGGAGATGGCCGATGTGTAAAAAAAAACAGCAAAGTAAGGATTTAAGTCTCCAGGAGGCTTATGTCAACATGTTAGACTAGACTGAGTGGAGACAAGTAATTTTTATGACCTGTTATGCTATTGGAGTGTGAGCAAAATAACATTTATTAAAGCATTCAGGAAAACTTTTTAGGCCAGACTTGAATCCTGGAGGTGGGAAGTATAGTGCCAGCACTCTGAAAGAGGAGTGAGATGTTGCATTTCCAAAGGTCATTTGTATGAAGGCAAAGGGGACAAAAGAGAGTGCAAAAATTATAGGGGGAGAAGTCTGCTGACTATACCTGGTCAAGTGAATGGTAGAGTTATTATTGAAAGAATTAAGAGTAAGAAGGAGAATAGGATAGCAGATGAATAAGGAGGCTTTAGGAAAGATAGGGGGTGTGTGGACCAGGTGTTTACAGTGAAACATATAAGTGAACAGTATTTTTCTCCTTTTTCTAAATAGCTCTTGTTCTTCTTTATTTCTTCTATTGTTCATGGGGAAGTGGAAAAGAATCTTTCCTCCGTAAGCCATGCGTGTCGTATGAGGCGACTAAAATGCCGGGAGCAATGGGCTAGTAACCCTTTCTCCTGTAGACATTTACTAAAAAAGAGAAGAAAAACTCTATAAAACTGGGATGCTTGAATGTGCGTGGATGTAGTGCGGATGACAAGAAACAGATGATTGCTGATGTTATGAATGAAAAGAAGTTGGATGTCCTGGCCCTAAGTGAAACAAAGCTGAAGGGGGTAGGGGAGTTTCGGTGGGGGGAAATAAATGGGATTAAATCTGGAGTATCTGAGAGAGTTAGAGCTAAGGAAGGGGTAGCAGTAATGTTGAAGGATCAGTTATGGAAGAAAAGAGAATATGAATGTGTAAATTCAAGGATTATGTGGATTAAAGTAAAGGTTGGATGTGAAAAGTGGGTCATAATAAGCATGTATGCACCTGGAGAAGAGAGGAATGTAGAGGAGAGAGAGAGATTTTGGGAGATGTTAAGTGAATGTATAGGAACCTTTGAACCAAGTGAGAGAGTAATTGTGGTAGGGGACCTGAATGCTAAAGTAGGAGAAACTTTTAGAGAGGGTGTGGTAGGTAAGTTTGGGGTGCCAGGTGAAAATGATAATGGGAGCCCTTTGATTGAACTTTGTATAGAAAGGGGTTTAGTTATAGGTAATACATATTTTAAGAAAAAGAGGATAAATAAGTATACAAGATATGATGTAGGGCAAAATGACAGTAGTTTATTGGATTATGTATTGGTAGATAAAAGACTGTTGAGTAGACTTCAGGATGTACATGTTTATAGAGGGGCCACAGATATATCAGATCACTTTTTAGTTGTAGCTACACAGAGTAAAAGGTAGATGGGATACAAGAGGAATAGAAGCATCAGGGAAGAGAGGTGAATGTTTATAAGCTAAAAGAGGAGGCAGTTAGGGTAAGATATTGGATATAAGATACAGGATAAGATATTGGAGGATAGATGGGCTAATGAGAGCATAGGCAATGGGGTCGAAGAGGTATGGAGTAGGTTTAAAAATGTAGTGTTAGTGTGTTCAGCAGAAGTTTGTGGTTACAGGAAAGTGGGTGCGGGAGGGATGAGGAGTGATTGGTGGAATGATGATGTAAAGAGAGTAGTAAGGGAGAAAAAGTTAGCATATGAGAAGTTTTTACAAAGCAGAAGTGATGCAAGGAGGGAAGAGTATATGGAGAAAAAGAGAGGTTAAGAGAGCAGTGAACCAATGTAAAAAGAGCAAATGAGAGAGTGGGTGAGATCCAAACTGCCAATATCCCAAACCCCTCCTTTAAAGTGCAGGCATTGTACTTCCCATTTCCAGGACTCAAGTCCGACTATATGTAAATAACTGGTTTCCCTGAATCCCTACATTAAATATTACCCTGCTCACACTCCAACATATCGTCAGATCCCAAGTACCATTCGTCTCCATTCACTCCTATCTAACACGCTCACGCACACTTGCTGGAAGTCCAAGCCTCTCGCTCACAAAACCTCCTTTACCCCCTCTTTCCAACCCTTTTGGGGGCGACCCCTACCCAGCCTTCCTTCCCCTATAGATTTATATGCTTTCCATGTCATTCTACTTTGATCCATTCTCTCTAAATGACCAAACCACCTCAACAACCCCTCTTCTGCCCTCTGACTAATACTTTTATTAACTCCACACCTTTTCCTAATTTCCACACTCCGAATTTTCTGCATAATATTTACACCACGCATTGCCCTTAGACAGGACACCTCCACTGCCTCCAACCATCTCCTCGCTGCTGCATTTACCATCCAAGCTTCACACCCATATAAGAGTGTTGGTACTACTATACTTCCATACATTCCCTTCTTTGCCTCCATAGGTAACGTTTTTTGACTCCACATATACCTCAACACACCATTCACCTTTTTTCCTTCATCAATTCTATGATTAACCTCATCCTTCATAAATCCATCCGCCGACACGTCAACTCCCAAGTATCTGAAAACATTCACTTCTTCCATACTCCTCCTCCCCAATTTTATATCCAATTTTTCTTTATCTAAATCATTTGATACCCTCATCACCTTACTCTTTTCTATGTTCACTTTCAACTTTCTACCTTTACACACATTCCCAAACTCATCCACTAACCTTTGCAATTTTTCTTTAGAATCTCCCATAAGCACAGTATCATCAGCAAAAAGTAACTGTCAATTCCCATTTTGAATTTGATTCCCCATAGTTTAATCCCACCCCTCTCCCGAACTATAAATATATTAAACAACCATGGTGACATCACACATCCCTGTCTAAGACCTACTTTTACCGGGAAGTATTCTCCCTCTCTTCTACACACCCTAACCTGAGCCTCATTATCTTCATAAAAACTCTTTACAGCATTTAGTAACTTACCACCTATTCCATATACTTGCAACATCTGCCACATTGCTCCTCTATCCACTCTTATCATATGCCTTTTCTAAATCCATAAATGCAATAAAAACTTCCCTACCTTTATCTAAATACTGTTCACACACACACACACACATATATATATATATATATATATACAGTGGACCCTTGACTAACGCTATTAATCCGTTCCTGAGAGCTCATCGTTAATCAAAATTATCGTTAGTCAAGTTAATTTTCCCCATAAGAAATAAAGGAAATCAAATTAATCCGTGTATGACACCCCAAAGTATGAAAAAAAACATGTTTTTACCACATGAAATATTAATTTTAATACACACAAACTGAAGAAGACATGCACAGTTACATGACACTTACCTTTATTGAAGATCTGGTGATGATTGATGGGATGGGAGGAGGGGAGAGTGTTGATGGTCTTAGTGTTTAGAAGGAGAATCCCCTTCCATTAGGACTTGAGGTGGCAAGCCCTTTTCCGGGGTTACTTCCCTTTCCTTTAAATCTCTCAAACCAACCTTTGCTGGCCTTAAATTCACTCACATCACCACTAGTTGCTGGCATTTTTTTAATTAAATCGTCATGCAACTTCCTAGCCTTTTCACATATGATTGCTTGAGAGATGCTATCTCCTCCTATCTGTTTTTCGTTTATCCACACCAATAACAGTCTCTCAACATCGAGTACTTGCGATCTCAATTTCGAAAACATAGGTGCACCTTTGGCAAGAACAGCTTCCTTGATTGCCGTTTTCTTGCCCACAATAGTAGCGATGGTTGATTGGGGTTTTGTGTACAACTTGGCCAGCTCGGAGACACGCACTCCACTTTCATACTTAGCAATGATCTCTTTCTTCATATCCATAGTAATTCTCACCTTTTTGCTGTAGGGTTGCCACTAGATGTTTTCTTGGGGCCCATGGTGACTTATTTTGCAGGTGCAATCACTAAAAAGGCTGTGATAATATGAAATGTTCCGATTGTATGCTTGGAAGAGACCGAGGTGGCTGGCTGGCTTGTAAACACTGGCCAGAAGTGGACTCATCTCAGACGGAACGAATAGTGTTGGTAGAGTTTTTTAGTGCTAGTCGAGGCAAAATTTTTGCGTTAAAATGTATCGCTAGTTGGATTTATCGTTAATCGATGCTATCGTTGGTCCACTGTATATATGTATATGTAAGTGTGTGTGTGTATATATATATATATATATATATATATATATATATATATATATATATATATATATACATATATACAGTGGACCCCCGCATAACGATGGCATCACATAGCGATTATTTCGCATACCGCTTACTTTAATTGCAAAAATTTTGCCTCACATACCGCTTAAAAACCCGCTTACCGATTTTCTTCCGAGACGCGCTCACATGTTCCGCCGGTGGCATTGTTTACCAGCCAGCCTCCGCGGTAACATCCAAGCATACAATCGGAATATTTCGTATTATTACAGTGTTTTCGGTGCTGTTTCTGGAAAATAAGTGACCATGGGCCCCAAGAAAGCTTCTAGTGCCAACCCTGTGGTAAAAAGGGTGAGAATTAGTATGGAAATTAAGAAAGATTTTGAAGGGTTTGGGGCTAACCCTGAGAAGCCTATGCCAGTTGTGGAATCCATTGTGCCTACTTCAAAAATTAAGGAAATGTGTGCACAGTGGGTTGAACTGCAAACCTTTATGGATGAAAATCACCCTGACACAGCTGTTGCAAGCCGTGCTGGTGACTATTTCAATGACAATGTTGTGGCCCATTTTAGACAAATCGTAAAGGAACGGGAGGTACAGAGCTCTATGGACAGATTTGTTGTGCGACAGAGGTCCAGTGACTCCAACTGGCCCTAGTCATTAAAAGAAGA